ATTCCACTGAACATGGACAAGCCACTTTCCCCCAGGGCTCTCAGCTTCTGCATGTATAAAATAGTTGGGCACAATTAGTGCTTGGCATCTTCTTGTCCCCAGAGCCCCAGGGCCCCCAGCTTCAAAGGGAGAGCCTGTTTGACATTGTGGGCTTCTGGGTGAGGGTTCTCTGGAGACTGGATGACCCTAGAGGTCTCTTTCCATTCTGACTCCTTATAAAACACTATTTTATTTGGATATTGTGACGGTGTTCTGGGCATGAGCTTAGAGTTTCCAGCTAGACACTATGCTCCTCAGATGGTGGACTGTGCCTTCAATGCAGGCCCGTAGCACTTGCTTCATTGGCCTGGGCACACAAGAAGTGAAATTGTTGTTGGAATCAAACTAGTTCGTAAGAGGAGGGTGGTGTTTTGGAAGTGGGTCAAGCTTGATCCATCTCTCAGCTGAGATCCCTCTCTGCTCCTGCCTCAGTCAGAGAATTCTCCCACCTGTTCAACACATCACCCGGAAGGACACTCACCTTTGGTCCAGGAGGCCCAGGTAAGCCCTGTGAAAGAAAAAAAAAAAAAAAAAGGTGAGTAGGGCTGGTTTCCACTGGTAAATGGTTGGGGATAGCCATACTTACAGTGGACCCTAGGGGCAGAGTAGCCCCCAGTAGCTATGGCAAGAGAATAGGCATGCTAGCCAACAGCGGTAGCGGACCCCAGAAAGGGCTCTGAAACCTGCTGAGGGCACGTGGGGATAACAGGCTTATGTCCCTCTTTGCAGCCATGTGGGCGCCGTGGGCAACTCTGCTGTGCTCGCCCATGGAAAGTAGGTCAGCGGCATCATGCTAAATTGACAGTGTGGTTTGGTCCAGATCCTCATTCACCCACCTCCTAATTGGAACCCCTCCCTAGAAAGCCGGCCTTGCCCAGCAGAGCCTTGGTTTTGCCCTTGGTCCTGCCTGCCGGCGGAGGAGCCCTCTGTCTCCTTCTGCCCAGGGTGCTGTGGGCATGGCAGCTGGCCACAGTGAGGTGGTGTGAGTCGAGGGAGAGGCCAGGGAAGGCTGGCTCCACCGCAGCCTTGGGTGTAGGTGTGGACAGCAAACGTGGGCTAGAGAAAGCCATGATGCCTGAGTCTGGTCTGTTGCAATTGGTTTAAGAAACATGCTCTCTGGTTTTCTTTTTTTGGTTGTTGTTGTTGTTATAAACAATCTAACAAAGAAAACCACCTGGCTTGGGTTCAGTGAGTGAGAGCCCAAAGTGTTAGCAGGGGGGTGGGTGGAAAGGGCAGTGGTCGGCAAAAAGTGAATTCTGAGCACTTTTTGGTTTTCTTGCCTTAGTTTGGTTCCATTTCCTAAGTTTCCCTTCCTTTCAGGTTTTCCCATCTGAAAACTGGTGGAAATAAGACTAATCCCCCTCTGTGGGGTGCCGGGGAGAAATTGTGGAAAAATTAAAAATTCATTGTAGGGGTCAAGCGTTGCAGGGGTCATTGTGCTGGCCTTCCCAGCCAAGGTGGGTGCCCTGTTCGGCCATAGCTATGGCCCAGCCCAGGGAGACCCTATAACAAGCTTCGAGATTGAAAGCTGGGCAGCCAAGGGGCCCAGACATGCAACCAGGCCATCTAGAATGTGGCCGTACACACGGAGTGCTATTTGTTGGGGACATCTGGCCTCTGGGATTCCACCTCTGGGACTCTATTCCAGCAAAACTATCAGAGATGCGCACAAACATTATGTTTCTTTGTCTATGTTCCATTCTTTTCACAATGAATTTATGGTGCTTTTGTCATAAGAAGGAAAAACAGGTTTTGTTTTGGTTTTTCTACCACATGGGAAAAACATTATTTAAAAAGCATTTTGCCCTTTACCTGCCTCTCCAATAACATTAGTCTTATGGGTGGGAGGAAGACCCGTTTTCTCTGAAGTCCAGGTACCCACTGAATTATTCTGTCCTGGGGCTTTGTTGTATAAATTGGGCTGAGAAAGAGTGGAATCTTAGCCAGGGCTTGAACATGGGTGACTTGGTGACCACTGGGCTTGACCTGTCACCTGAATGTGGTCCAGCCTGGAGGGGTGCCAGTTGGCCTCTCTGGAGTCCTCCAGGCAGTGGCCCTGCAGGCCCGGCAGGCTTGATGCATCCTCAGGCTTGGCACAGGGCTCTTGGCTGACTGGGCCTTCAGCTCAGCTGGCAGGTGGCCCAGCAGTGTGAAACCTGCACACACCCCTGGAAGTCTTGTTCATTGGGGTGTCAGGTAGTTGGATGACCCCTCACTACCTCCTTCAAAACCCACTGCCCCTGACTCAGGTTTTCCTAAGGGGCTCAGGGATAGCCATCAGAAGTGCCCTTGGGAATTCTCTTTCCAAATTCCTCTCTGCTGGGGCTGGGAATGGGGCAGGTCGTTGGCGGTCTCCTCCCTGGAAGGCAGCGGGCATGGCCCAGGCTGTGTTTCAGAGCCAGAGTGCAACGGGTGGTGAGTGTGCTGGGGATGAATAGCCCCTTGCATGGTTCACCCACATCCAATGGCCCTGCCAAGGCATTTCTGCTTTTTGTAGGGGACCCACTGCCTATTCAAGGTTTGGAGGTTTCCAGAGAGTTCTTGGGACAAGTCTTGAAGGAGAGAGGAAGGGAATACTTACGGGTGGCCCCACGGGCCCTGGCAGTCCTGGGTGCCCCAGAGGTCCACTTGGTCCAGGGGGGCCTGGGGGCCCTGGTGGACCTTGGATGCTGGCTTGGCTCTGTTCACCCTGAGGTTCATGGAAACAAATGTTAGAGGGAAGGCCCCCAGAGCTGCAGAGCGGCCCCCACCCTCAGGCCATGCACCCGGTGAAGGCCTGCTGTGATTTCTGCTGGGAAGGCAGTGGTGGTGGGGGGAGGGGCGGCATGTTGGTGATGATGCTGTGGTAGTGGTGATGACATGCAGCGGCTGGTGGCAGTGAGAAGAACGCCAAGATGTTAGATCCCTGAAGGTGGGGCTTCCAAAGAGGACTGGCTGTGGAGAAACATTCTGTGGGGGCAGAAGCAGAGGAGCGAGTGGGAGACAGCCCCTGGCCCAACCAAAGGCCTGCTCCCAGCCTGGCCAGATAGCCTGAATCTTCAGTTTGGGCCTGCCTGTGTCACCATCCCTGTGTGGCGAGGCACAGGTCCCCCTAAGCCCCAGCCTCTCAGCCGTAGAATGGAAACAATAGCCCCCGTTTCCTGTCTCAGCTTTTTGCTGTCTTTGACTGTCTGACCCAGAGGATCAAATGGGATCCTTAGGTCAAAGCCCATGGAATTTTGTTTGGCTCACTAAACAACGGAGCAAGAGACTTTACGTACAAAATTTGAATTGGTGGCTTCTGATGAAACACTGGGAACCCTGGCTGTGCTGGGCCCACATTCCTACCTCCAAGGAGTGGCTGCCCGTTAAGTGGGGCCTGAGTTCTCTGGCTGCTTTTGTCCTCTCCCTCCTAGCCCTTCTCACACACAGCCTGCTTCTGTTACTTAGGTGATCTGCCTGGCCTCGGAGGGCAGTTGAGCCTGCAATCTTTGGTTTCATTGAAAGAGTTTAGAAGTTGTGTGGAAATGCTTTATGCTATGTGGGGAGGCTGTTCTGAGCCCAGCCTTCCCACCATACCTGTCCCCAGGATGGACTGTGAGCCCAGGGAGGTAGGGATAGCATCATGATCCCCTCCCCCAGGAGGAGGAGACGGCCTAGTGCACGTGACCCAGATCTCAGGGCTGGAGCAACACAAAGTCATCTTAGATCTAAACCAACCCTGGCTCCTTGGTTTGTTATTTTCTAAATGACCTCTCTGGGATCAATCTGGGCTTAGCTCTTGTGAGGAGGGGCCCATCCCTGCAGATGGGCTGAAGCAGAACCTCCTGGCAGGTGTGGGAGCTCCAGGGTAGAGGCTGGGGGATGCAGGCGGCAGAGTTCCAGGCCGGCCCACCTTTCTCAGAGGATCTCAGCAAGCCCCTGTGACACACCGGGACTCCTGCTTCCCCATGTGAGGAAGGCAGCTGATGACGCTTGCTGCAAACTCTAGAGGGAAGTGGTGGTCCTAAATAGGAGAGCACAACCTGGGAATGAGAAACGTAAACTTTCAGCAAGACCTGCTTGCACCATCTTTTGACTGGAAAACCTGTGGGCGGATGGCATCTCGCAGTGTCACTCTGGCGCCTGGGCCCTATCCTGCCACACCCTCTGAGAAGCCACTTTAGGGCTCAGGGTGTCCATGGCAGAGGAGGCAGGTGCTGAAATCACTTTGGCGGCTGCCGTGACTGCAGGTCCCCCACCCAGCTGCATGTTGGTTGTTGATAAGTCTCAGGTGTCAGTGTTTCTTCTGAACCGAGAAAGGCTTCACTAAGCCTCAGGCCTTAAGAGGGGACCAGTGCAGCCTCCTTTTCAACCACATTAAATCTGGTTCCGCTGCTTGGGTCCCAGAACCTCCTCGGAATCCTGTACTTTGTGTGTTTATATTTTTCATGGGTTTTCTACATTCACAAGATGGGGGAAGCTTAGTCTCAAGAAAACTCCTGAGGTCCTTTCTGACTGTGAAATTCTAGAATCTTCACAACGTCAGAAGTCTTATGTTACAGAAGAGAAAACTGAGACTCCAAGAAGTTGAATTCCCTGATCAAAGTCACATGGGAATTCAGGGTGGCGCCAGGACCCAAAGTTGGAACAGCAGACTCTTCCTATTCTTTCTAAGTAAGCCCCCAGCAAAAAGGGCTCACTGTCTACTCTTTCTGAATGTTGGAAATGACCTCCAGCACCATCTGCCAAGCACATCGTATCTCATATAAAGCTTCCTTTTTCAATGACTCTTAGTCCCAATGTTTAAGCGGCTTGCAGAGTCTGTAAAATCAATACTGGCTTATTGATAGAAAATGGACAAGCATTTTTATGTCCCATAGTGGCTGAGAGCATACAAAAACCTGATTCTGAAGGCAGAATCTGCAGCAGGCAGCTCAGAGGTGCCTCCTCTTCTTTCTCTACTTTGGAAACCAGGTCAGGGTAGCACAAAAAGTTCTGGCTTAACCACCTCTTGATCCTGAAAAGGAGGCAGTAACATGCAGTGGCCTGGATGGGATCCTGCACCCCTCTCGATTTCTGCCTTTGCAAAGCGGGGGATAATGAGGTGGCTCTTGTGGGGAATGCATGAGATAATTTGCATAGAATTCTCACAACAATGCCTGGAACCTAGCGAGGGCTCAACAAAGAACAGCTGATACAACTAAGGAGGGGAGGGAGGTCACTGCTGGGGTCCAGGAGAATGGCTATTCTGAGAGTGTGGACCCAGCTCTCCCGGAATGGGGTCCGGCACAGGCTGGGGTGGGTGACAGAGGTGGGCCTGGTGCTTCGGAGCTGCCAGTGGGCCTCCTGAGTAGCCAGGCTCTGGTGAGTGCTCGGGCACACGGAGGCTCTCGAGGATTTGGCCAGGCGTAATGTGATATGTGGCCTATAGGCTTGGGTGGCACTGGAGTCACGTGTCCCTCTGTATTTTTAGCCGTTAATTGGAGGGATTTTTCAGCCTTGTTCAATCAGGTGCCTGAACATCCAGGACCTTGGGCTCCTGACTCCTGAGTCAGGCCGGATGGTTGCTTAAGGCTCTACAGTCAGGCTTGTAGACAGCAGCTCAGAGCCCTGCCACTGCTAACATCCCTGTGCTGGGCGGGGGACCCAGTGCAGCATGAGAAAGGTGAGGAGCACGGGGGCAGCCACGGGCCACCTGGCCTGGAATCAAGCTGTGATCTCTTGAAGAGCAGAGGCCAGATGGCTTTGTTCTTTGTGATCTGCTCCTATCCCAGCCCCCTTGGGTTAGAAGGCAGAAAGAAGGAAGCACTTGCTCACCATGTGGGTTGTGGACTACATTCCCTCCACAAATGCCCTTGCTCCCCAAACTCAGGTTACGAGGGATCAGATGCTAAGCAGTCTGCATTTCTAAGCAGAGAGGAGGTAGGTCCAGCTGAGAGAGCCCTGGATGTGGGGTCTGAAGACCTGACTTCAATTTCAATTCTGCTTCAAGGCCAGTTTCAATTCTGCCTCTTACTGTTAGTATAACCTTGGGCAAATCAATTCACTTCTCCGAGCCTCATCCTTGTCTCCAAAATATGGATAATAGTAATAATAACGGCTAACAATTATATCTCTTAAACTGTGCCAGGAACTATTCCAAGTGCTTTACATATCAACAACAGCCCTGTGAAATAGACACTGTTATTATTCTTATTTTATAGATGAGAAAGCTGGGACACAGAGAGGTCAAGTGACTTTCCCCAAATCACACAGCTAGTAACAGGCAGAGAGACTGGGTACAAATTCCTGCTCTGCAATGTACTGGCTGTGTGACCTTGGCAACTTGGTTAACCTCTCTGAGCCTTGATTTCCTCATCTATGAAATAAGGATGATCATGCCTAATTCATAAAACTGTTGGTGAATGAAATATAAGCAGGCCTGCGAACTGGGTAACAGGGTGCCTGGCACACACTGACAGCTTTTGTTGGTGGCTGTTGTGAGTAATCATTGTGTGGTGATAGTTGTGGGTCTTCTGGGTCCTGTGTGTTGTGTATTTCCATGTCTATGGTATACGTGGGCCTATTTTTGTCTAATTTAATTTTGCTGAATTAGAGTGAGGTTCTGGCTTTGTCTGCAGCCCCAGCAGGCTTGCCAGGCCCCTTGGGAAAGCCACACATGGTCTGGACAAACGGGAGGTGTCTACCTGGAATGTCCGCCTTTTTATGACCGGGGGTGGAGCCAGTCGCACTGAATTGAGGAGAGGCAGCAGCTGAGGAGAAAGATGAGTTGGAGGGCCAGAGGGCAAAGGCCAAAGATCACAGGTATTCAGATCGATGCCAAAAGTCACCAGGAGGGCAGGGCGGCCAAGAGGGACCGGAGCAGAGGAAGAGAGAAGAGAGATTAGCGTGCACATGAGGAGTGGGAGGGAAGGAGTGGACAGGGCACTCTCATGGCTTGAGGGTGCAGAGCGGAGCTTGCCCTTGGATGGCACAGCCGTCCCTTGGGAGGAGTTGTGGCCCTCAGTCCACACCCGGCCTCGGCCTCCAGGTCAGAGTTTGGGGTGTTGACCAGCCGCCCCCGGAATGGGACAATGGCCCCCCATGGCCAGGCTTGCCCTCCGTGGCCATGCTGGGCTGCAGAGGCTGCTGGACATGCAGCCCAAAATTGCACTGCCAGCCCCACCCATCCCTGCTTGGTGGACAGAAGGGAGCCAACTCAGAGGGTCTGGCCAGGGAACCACTGGGCCCGTGAAATTGGTACTTGAAGTTGGGCTGGTGTGCGGCTGGTGGGTTCTTTTTTTGGTTGAGCAAGAAAGGCTGGTGTCAGCGCATCTGGGGAGGGTGGTCAAGGACAGTGCCAAGCCCTGCTCCCCGGGAGTTGAGCTGGCTGAGGGTGCGGCCAGTATGGGCACATGCTAAGTGCTGCTGAGGGCTCACCCTGGGGCTGCAGGGCCTGGAAAATAGAGGCTGGGCAAAGATATCTCCAGAACGCTCAACCATGTTTTTGCAGGAGGCAAATTGCAGTCATATTATCTAATGTGATTTTCATTTCTGGAAATTCTTGCAGCTTCTAGTCCCTCTACCCATTGAAGCTGAGCAACCCATGGTTTTAGGAGGCCCTTAGAGCCCATGTGAAAACAAAGATGGCATATACTGTCATCAGCCGCTTGTTTTTGAAAGTACTTAAATCACACAAGACTCCTGGGATGAGTGTTAAGAACCAGGAGCTGTTTGGGCTGTGAATGTGCCCAGCTGGGGATCGGGAGCCCAAGTGTGGCCTTTCCAGGTCACAGCTGCTGCCTTCTTGGACAGTAGTTGCACGCAGACCTCCACCCGCTCCCGCTGCCGGGGCCTGGGGATGTGCAATGTTGGGCTGTATGTTCAGGAAGCCTCTCAGTGGAGAGCGGCCCGGAGACCTTCCAGAACCTACAAACCTTCAGGGCAATTATCTGGCTGGAGCGCAGAGCTGCTGGCATGCTGCTTAGGCACTCCTAGTTTGGGAGGGGATGGAGGTGGCAGAGACAGGGCGACAGGGACCGTGATGGGAGAGCCCACAGACACCAGCTCCCCTCCTCCCCACCCCTCTCCTCTCCCTCCCTGGGGAAGCCACAGGCTGGAGTGGAGGAGGGGCCACCCGGATCTCTTCGTGTCTTCCAGGCCTCAAGACCTGCCACCCCAACCCTGCCTGCAGACCCCTTGGAAAGCCAACAGATCTCTAGAAGCCCCCTGATTTTCTACCCTCTTCTAAATAAACTTGCTCTCCACCTCAGCTGGGACCCCAAATCTACTCCCCCACCCCATGCCTGACATGTTCCCCAGAATGCCACCGTCATGAGGCCAGGCTTCACTGTACCCTGTGGCCAGGGGTCTTCTGCAGCCTTCTGTCACTGTGCCCTTCCCTTTCCTTGTGTTGGGCTGAGAAGCAGAAACCCCTGCTCCCACCCCACCCCAAGCGCTCACTGAGGACGGGTGACACACTACCAAAGCGTCTGCAGTTGTGTTGTCTTTTGTGCTGGGGGATGTTGTCTTTCTTTCGGGTAACATAACAATCCTGTGAGCCTATCGTTTCAAATAAACACAGCTGACCTTCTATTATTGTATCAGGATCAAGCTGGCCGGAACACAAGGGCCCCTGCATCCCTGGAGCACATGCCGCTGACGGGCTGGCTCTGACTGCGCTGCTGCTGGCCTGCCTTCCTCAGCCCGGGCCTAGCACCGCCGCAGCCTTAAACCCATCCCAGCCTCTCACGTACCAGACTCGCAGTGGTTCCCTGGCCCAGGAACCCAGACCTCAGGTCTGCCTTCCAGCCTCCTGAGGGTCTGGGCAGAGGCCGGGCCCTGCTAGCATGGCCCTCCTGACGCCCTTCTAGAGTCAAGCTGACGCTGAGCTCCGGCTTATGTCTGTCTCCACTCCCCAAATCCCACCAGCCGGACCTGCGTGGCAGGGGTGGGCAGCCAGGGAAGCTGAGCACCATGGGGCACATGACAGAGGGGAGAGAGGCCTAAAGATGCTCATCCTCCATCCCTGCTGTCCAGGTCTGGGAGCAACGAGGCCAATCCACAAAATGAGGGGCTTTTTTTTTTTTTTTCTGGGCCTAGCTCACTGGGGCTCCTGCTGGAGGAAGCTGTGCGTATCTTGCTCTCCCCTGTCCCAAGATCGACCCTGCTGCTGGAACACAAGTTTGAATATTCCTAACAGGACAACAGCAGTCTTTTGGGTTCTGTTTCTTGGGGTGGAGCAAGGAAAAGGAAGGAGGAGGCAGGGGTGGGCAGAGGAAGCATCTCAGCCGGAAATCCCCAGCCTGCTTGGAGAAGGGCTTCCTCTGTTCTCAAACAGGCCAAGGAGAGACTTTATCCTTCAATTGCTACAGTCAGTCCCCGATTATCTCCATCATCGAGGTTTGGATGTGAAACACCATCATCTGATACAATGACTAATCGAAAAGTCCCACTTTTTTGGCCATGGCTAGGCTGCCGGACATCACCCCCCACCGCCACACACACACACACACACACTTGCACACACATGCTGGATGGGTGGGGAGTCGGACTCACACAAGCCACGCTGCCATAGAGGGCCATGTGCAGAGGAGCCACAGAGCTCCACACGAAGCAAGAGACTCCAACATACTGAGTCGGCCGTACGTACAAAGGGGCAGATGTACAGACACGCACGGATGATGAACAGCTCCATACAGCCCATGGCCAGAGAGACACATCAGCTGCTCCCACCAGACGCACTGCCACCCCACACCCCTCTTTCTGACTGCTGCGTGCAGAGGGCACTGGGGGCTCCTGTTCCCCCACGATCCGTTAGGAACTGGAGACCCCAGGGAGATGAGGCTGAGCTGGGGGCTGTGCCCCAGGGATGGATCAAAGGGCCTTGCTCAATTTTAGGGGTTCACTTACCCGGTGTGGGTACTCTCCACACTGACCCTGGGAAGGAGAGAGAAGGGAAAGGGGGTGTTAGGCACTTGTTGGGGGTACCTGTCTCTCAGGGCACCCCCAGAACTTCAGGACATGTCACACATCTCACCACTCACCAGCCCTCCTGCTCTAGCTTTCATTTGAGCCCTCTGAGGCAGGAGAACTAAGTCCCTCCCTTGCCCCTGGCTAGCAGCAGGGAAGAAACTTCCAGGGCCTGTCTGGAAGTTGCCCCATGGAGCCTAGGGGCGGAGCTTCGCCTTACACCACTTGCCATAATGGCAGAGTCGGGAGTTATGCCCCATGCCTGGCTAAAGGTTGACCCTCTAGACAGGCCCACCAGACAGCCCTGAACAGAAGCCACTGGATGGGAGCAGCTGGCACCATGGGGGCCCCCAAGCCACCTTCTCTGAGCTGGGAGCACCAGGCCCCTGTACCAGTGGCCCAAAAGCAAGCACAGCAGAGTCTCTATCAGAAATTCAACAAGACAGAGAGGGCAGGAGGCCAGGCCAGTGGTTGACAGATTGATGCCTCAGAATCCCAGAGGCTCACAGAGACGTCAGGGAACACCATGGGGTGACAGCTGGGAGGGGCCCAGAAACAGGCTGAAGAGGGCCAGGCTCCAGAAGGACCCCTGGAAAAGGATGTCACCCAGGCCAGGCTCCAGGAGGACCCTTCACTCCAAGAAAAGGATGTCACCTGGAGCGGCGTCAACTGAATCTATTATGCGGCACCTCGGGGGCTTTCCTGGTTCTGTCAATTAAAACTAAAGTTTGAAAATAACCACTATTGACCCCTTTCTACCAACTGGGGGACCGTTTCCTGAGATGGAGACTCTAGGAAACCTCCACTGCTCTTACCTTTTCTCCTTTTTGTCCCTGAGGTCCCTACAAAGAGACGGAGATGAGAGAGTTAGAAACCGAAGCTGAGGTCACAACCACCTGAAGCTTCTCTGCTGGGAAATAGAAGGATGAGGTACCAACCGGCTGTCCTGGGGGACCCGTCAGACCCTGTGGGAAGCAAACATACACAGATCAGTGGGCAGACAGAAGATGGGCAATCAGGGACACCTGCCTAGGTGGAGATTGGGGCTGAATCCTGAAGGCTGGGCCAGCCATGTCCAGGTCTTCCCATGCCCACCACATTCAAGGTGGTGTGGTCTCATCCACAGAGTCTCAGCTTCTTCACCCCGCAGTGGGCCGGACGAGGGTTGTGATGAAGAACAGATGGCATCTTTCATCCATTCCTCCAACCACCAGCATGTCATGGGCCAGCTATGGAGGGGCTGCACCTAGAGGTCAGGGAGTTTTCTGCTCCATGGGACCCCCTGCCTCACAGGCACCAAGCCTCTGGGAGACACTAGCACATTCCACCTCCTGCCTCCCAGGCTGCAGTGAAGCCCACTGAACCAGAAGAGCTTCTGGCCTGGGGGGCTGGGCCGGTGCCTCAGACAATGGGGGCCTTGGAGAAACCTTCGGCAAAAGAGAGCGAGCAGGAAGTTGGCAACTGAAGCCATGTTCCGGAGTTCTCTAAGAAATATGAGGGATCTTGAGGTTTCCTTCAAGGTTGTCTTGTCCATGCAGGGCTAGGAAAGGAGCTGGGGTCAGGAGGGACCCTTGCTGTCTGAGGAGGGCCCAGCATGCTCTGGCTCTCTTAGGAGGCTGCACCAAGGCTGGTGCAGGGAAGAGGAAAAAACAAATGCCTTATGAGCTGAGGCTCTTCAGGTGTGTGCCTGTGAGGGACATGCTCGTATCCACTCCAGCTCCTGAGCGAGGTGACAGAGACATGGCCCCATGGCTCAGTGAATGGTGGCACTGGGACAGGAGCCCAGGTTTGTCTGATGGCCAAGGTCCAGCTGTTTCCACTCTGCCGAATGCTGAGAACTGGGCCAGACCTTGGGAGTCAGGGCTTCTAGACTTGGCTAGAGCCATTCTCTTTGGGGCCTGAAGCATCGTGGATCCCCATGGGTGGGTCCATCCGGGAGGTGGCGGCAGCATGCCGTGATGTGCAAGAGCCTTGGTCCTGCTCCCGACTTGCCAACAGGGCCACCTCCAAACTGGGAAACTCCCAAGAGCATCACTGGAAGGGAGAAGTGGCCTTTGGGACCATCCATGTGGCCCTCCCAGCCCATGTGGCTGGCCAAGTGTTTATTTATCTTTTATTGTTTTATTGAGACAGGATCTCACTCTGTTGCCCAGGCTGGAGTGCAATGGTGTGATCTCAGCTCACTGCAGCCTCAGCCTCCTGGGTTCAGGTGATCCTCCCACCTCTGCCTCACAATTAGCTGGGTCTACAGGCACACACTACCATGCTTGGCTAATTCTTCTATTTTTTTTTCTGTAGAGACAGGGTTTTGTTATGTTGCCCAGGCTGCTCTCAAACTCCCAGACTCAAGCAACCTGCCCACGTTGGCCTCCCAAAGTGCTGGGATTACAGGTGTGAGCCACCACGCTTGGCCTGGCAGAGTGTTTAGAATGAAGTTCAGCAGCACATGATTCACCCAGCAGGGAACCCGGGCCCAGCCCACAGGTGACCAGGTCACCCTCTGTCAGGACAGAGATATAAGTGTGATGGGGGAGGGGCAGGCGGAGTTTCAGGACTGCAGAGACTTGGACAATTGAGACCAGACATCCCAAATGGTGGCCCAGGGGACAGTCGTGGTCTTCATAGGGATTTCGTGTATCCCACATGGTTTTATTTCAACTAGTTACCAACACTTAAGAGCAAGCAGAGTGCAAATAAAAATCTGGATTTCAAGTTTCTCTTAATTATGTCGAGGCCCAACAACACATGGTACCAGTTCTCTCCAGCCGGGCAGCGCCTGCCCCTTTAAGGGCCACGGCCCCGGGTGATGTGCTCAGCACTTGCCACCAGCCCTCTGCTAACTGCTACTGAAGCATAGCTAAGGTGCCTGTCCGCTTCTTGTGTGCTAGGCGTGTTGTGAGTGCCTGGCGCTCCTCACTCTTCCGACAGCCCTGTGGGTGGTGGGTGAGATTTGGACTCAGTCCAGGTCTTGCTTTACAGCCCTTATGTCATTCCTGAGTCTCAGAACCCCCAATCTTGTCCACCCCCCAACTGCACTATTGTACAACTGTGTCCTCCCAACACTTCAACACCTTATTTCAGGTTATTGGGAATAATGTGAAGTGGGTGGGGCAGAGGTGACCCCCTTTTGAAGGTAAGGATGCAGGTTAAACAATGAGGGTGAGTGCCAGTGCCCCAGTAGGACGCCAGCAGAGGGGACAGCATCTGGGGCGGGAGACAGACAGATGAAGAGCGGGCCAAGGTAATGATGCTGGACAGCGGTTGGCAACTAACAGCTCGGGTACCCATGCCAAGGCAAACAGGAATCGGATGGCTCTGTGGCCTGCCGGATTTGATGAGGCAGATAGGTGATCTATCCTACTGATGTGGGCTCACGAGAGAGGGGGTGGGCCTGCCTTTTCTGTTGAATTAGCTCTCATCCCTGAACAGACAGGCGGTCAAGTGTGTGGGACAGAGGGATGGTGTGGGCAGAGTGAGGGCAGGAAGAGGGGCCCCATGGAAGGGTCCCTTTCCTCTAGGACAAAGTGCTGGCAGCTGAGAGGAGGTGTGATCCAGGGGTAAGACCCCATAGTATGGGTCTGAATCTCAGCTCTGGTATTTAGGAGCTTTGTGGCCTCAGGCAATGTACTTAGCCACTCTGTGCCTCAATTTCCCCTCTCATGAAGTGGGGATGATAAGCTGTTATGAGGATGCCAGAGTGCTGCCTAGAAGATGACCATTATTATTACTTCTGGGGGGCCATGGGCTACCTTATGGTAGCATAAGGCTGCCAGAGAGGAAAAGAAGCTGGGACTGAAGGGATGAGCACCCCAAACCCTTTATGCCTCTCTAACAATGCAGCATGGCAGTTTATTCCTGTCTCGGTTTCCACTATTCCATACATGTGCACAGCACGCCTAGGAACGGGGTAGGGGCGGGAGGAAATGCATTTGCAGCAGAGGCAGCTGTGATGGAGAGGAAACCTTGCTGGGGGACCTGGATTCCAGCACCAGCTCTTCTGCCACTGCCTCAGGGGCCTTCTGCCGCCAGTGCCCTTCCTCCAGTTCTGCAGACATGTCAAGGATTTTCCTACCTCAGGACCTTTGCACATGCTGTTCTCCCATGTCCAGAAAGCACATTCTCATCCCTCTTTCTATTTTCTCTCGGTTGAATCCTCGTTCTTCAGGCATTAGTTCAAAAGTCTCTTTCTCAGAAAAGCCATCTCCGACCCTTGGCCTGGGTGAGGTTTTTGTTATACCAAGGTTTCCAGGGCACTAAGGATTATCTTTTTATAGCACTCATTGCAAAGCAACTTGTTAGTTACGTGAGTGATGATTTAAAAGGATGTCTCCCTGGTCGACTGTGAGCTACAGATGGCAAAGACAGCCTCTCTTGCTCCCGTCTGTATCCCTAGCACCTGAAGGAGTGCGCAGCACATTTTAGATACTCCATAAAAAATGCATTAAAAGAAGGAAGGTGGCAGGAAGGCTGACAAAGAGTGAGGGAAACAGAAAGGGAGGAAGGTAATAAAACGTGGAGGGAAGGAATTTGAGAACTGTGTTTTGATCTTGTTTTGGACACTCAGCTGTGTGACTTCAGGCAAGTTACCTAGACTCTCTGAGACTTGGCTTCCACACCTGCCAAAAGGGATTCTTGTAAGACCTGGAGCACAGTTACGCTGAGGATTGAGACAGTCATGCAAAGTGCTTAGCCCGGTGCCGACCACACGGCAAACCCTCAATAAATGTTAGTTGGATCTGAGTCAAGAGGACAGGTTGGGGCCCAGAGGGAGCTGGCAAGTTAGGAAGAGCTAGGCTGGAGCCCAGGCCTTGCAGCCAACACTCCGCCATCCCCCTTTCCATCCACGAGATTGCCTGCCTCCCTCGGTGCCCTGGCAGTGCCCCAGTCATGGATCAAGGGTTGTCTTCATACCAGCGCTTGGAGCAAGGCATGAGCCAGACCCCTGCCTGGCCCACTGACCTGTGGAGCAGGAGGTGGTCCCTCGCAGTGTAGGTGTGACCTGGGACTTAGGAGGCAGAAATTGCATCCCAGCCCAGGGCTTTTTTTTTTTTTTTTTTTTTTTTTTAGCAGGGCTTTATTGAAAACCAAAGTACACTCTACAGTGTGGGAGCAGGGGCCCATTTGCTCTTAATGGCCCATCAGTTCCTGCTGAGACCTGGCCCACTGTGAGAGTGGGCAGCCCTTCATTGCCTTCTGGAAGGGATGGTCTGTGGAGACGGCAAATTTATTTCCAAAGCTCTGCAGAAGGTAGGGGCCAGGAGAAAGGTGGGGCAAAGCTTGTCTCTCCACCTTTTCGGGGCCTGAGGCACTCCAATTCCCCTGGGCACATCCATCTGGGGGGCGGCCACAGGATGCTGTGACACGGAAGAGAAGGCCTCGCTCCCGCTCTCGACTTGCCAAGTGGCCCAACATCCAAACAGAAACTCCCAGGAAGGCGTGGGGAGAGGAGAAGGGGTCTTTGGGATGGTGCATGTGGCACCCCCAGCTGAGATGATCCACTGGGCACCACCAGCCCCAGTGGGGCAGGAACCCCTGGAGTCCTGGGGTGGCTCAGGGCACAGCCAGCACTGGGAAGGGGTTATGAGGCCTTGAGGGACCTCAGGCTCAGTAGAAATGGTGTCTCCTACAGAAAGTGTCCCCTGTGAGTGCGGATGAAACCTTGTCTCCCAAGGCCCACGCGAGTGTGGTTTGAGAGCACTAAGCTGGACACCGACTTCTGTGTGCCACCGACCAGGTAT